CCCCAACCCCAACCCCAACCCCAACCCCAACCCCAACCCCAACCCCAACCCCAACCCCAACCCCAACCCCAACCCCAACCCCAACCCCAACCCCAACCCCAACCCCAACCCCAACCCCAACCCCAACCCCAACCCCAACCCCAACCCCAACCCCAACCCCAACCCCAACCCCAACCCCAACCCCAACCCCAACCCCAACCCCAACCCCAACCCCAACCCCAAAGTAATATTTGTTCTTTTTTATTAATTTATTTTATTTTAATTATGAATTTAGTTGATGATATTTTACTAAAATTAATAGTTTATTTTTAATATAAGTTTTTAACAAGTGTTAACAAACAATTTTCTAAACAAAAATAAACGATTTTTACTTATCAAGTAAGAACAGTATTTTTTTTATTAAATTTAATAACATCTAAATAATGATTAAAAACTTATTCATATTGAATGAATGAAAAAATAAATAAATTTACAAATATATAAACATATTTTTATGATGAATTAGTAAACAAACTATTTTTTTAATATTTAATTATATTTAATTATTTTTAATAATGATTTTAAGTAAGTTAATAAATATTTTTAGAGTTAAATTTTTCTTATAAATGTGTTCTAGTTACTATTTTAATATAAATTTTTAATAAATATAAATAATTATTAAAAATATAATAATAATTTTAATAAAATTATTTACCCTTTAAAGAATTTAGATCAGAAAAATTGTTAATTTACTAAAATATCCTTAAATATTTATACTTTTTATAAAATGTTTTATATTTTATACTAAAATATTTGTATAAATTGAGAAAAAAATAATCTAAAAGTTTGAATTTTTCAAAAAATGACAAAGTTTTACTTTAATTAAATTTAGTTATATATAATGGTAATATAAGGTATTTTTTTAAATATTTGATTTTTTTAGTAAAATTAAATTTTTAAATAAGCTTAAAAATATATTTTTGAAATGTAAAATAATAAAAGTAAATAAAATTGGTAATATTTTTCTAGAAATATTCTTATTTCTTATATTATAGATAAATTAATTATAATTTCAATCGATAATATTAATACTTATAGTCTTTAATGAAAAATAATAAATAAATAAAAAATTTCTAGAATATTTTCTTAAATTGATGGAGACAGATATCTACTGATAAAACACTAATAAGATTATTTAAATAATTACATATTTATTGGTTTAAAATTAAATCTTTATTTGAATTATGATGAATTATCCTAGTAAGTGTATAATCTAATTTATATGTTTACAAACAAATAGTAACTTTAGTAGTATTAATTTAAAATCCCGAATAAAATATGCCTTAAAAAAAATTCAATCATGTCTACAATTTTATTTTAAAATTTTTTGCTATGATTAATTGAAGGCGAATGTAGATATTATTTTAACTTGTGAATGTATATTTATCATTTTATCATTAGCTTTTAATATATTTTTTAAATCTAAATTTTAACATGCTCAATTGGAATTTTCTTATGAAATTTTTTAATTTTGCTTCATAATTCTCAGTTTAAACTACTTATGGTAATCAAAGATTAGGTACAAATGTTGTAAAACTTAACTTTTTCATTATCTAGCTTTCGGAATTAATAGCTTACTGAATTTATAAAGAAGGTTTGGATTAAATAAAGAAAATATTGATTTCTTAAACAATTTTTATTAAAAAATTTAATTAAAAAAACTTGAAAAGTAATTTAGAATGATTATTTTTGGAGAGTTATGTGCTCTAGCGTGTGCTGCTTCTTGGGCAGGTGCTTCAAATTTATTTTCCCATTCAGTGAAAACCTACACTCCTATGGCATTAAATTTAGTAAAAGGTGCTGGATCAGTGATAATACTATTTATGTTAATGCTTTTGATTAACGATAGCTTATTTCCATAAGCTGAAACTTCTCTCTACTTATACCTGTTTGTATCTGGTATTTTTGGCATAGGAATAGGTGATACTTTATACTTTTAGGCTCTGGAAGTACTTGGGCCAAATGTTACAATTTTGATGGAAACTCTAGCTCCACCATTTACAGGGTTGTTAGCTTTTGCTTACTATAAGGATACTATTTCGTTTGTTGGATGGGTTGGTATTACTCTTGTTGTTCTTGGTATTTATTTTGTGGTTCGTAAAAATTCTTCTGAGAAGGATTAATAATTATCAGCAAAAGATATTGAAACTTAAGCTACTTTTGTAGAAATACCTCTTATTCCATAAGCAGAATAGCTTTTGCATTAATAAACCTAGATAAATTAGTAAAATGACCTAATTGCAATAATAAAAAGCAAAAAATTTAAAGGGATAGTATCTGGTGTAATGTGTATGTTTTTCCATTCATTTGGTATGATTTTATCACATGATGCTTTAAAGACAAAATAATTTGACGCCTTAACAAGCTCATTTTTAAGGCTTATAGCAGGATTGGTATTTATTGCTATCGTTATGGCCTTTAAAAAATCAGAAAAATTTTAAATACCATAACAAAGCTCAAGGGATAATTTGATCCTTGCCTTAGGTATATTATTAGGACCTATTCTTTGCATAGTATTCTAACAGATTTCTCTAATGTACACTCGTCCTGAAATAGCATAGACTTTAATGGGAACTACTCCTATATTTACTATTTTCATAAGTGCATGGAAGGGTTAAAAAGTTAGCTAATAATACATAATAGGTTCAATGATAGCACTCTTTGGTGTAATATTGATAGTTTGGAGTAAATGAAAATGAAATAAAAAAAATATATTTTTTATATTCAAATCTTTATTTTTAATTGAATCTGTTAAAAATAAATAAATATTTTAATTAATAAAAAAAGTTTATTTAGTTAAATAATTTAATTAATTAATGTTTGTTTGTTATATTAATTAATTAATTAAATAAAGTCTCTGTTTCTTTATTATATTTTAAATGCATATTCTATAAGAGATGTTGGTATTAATTTATATTTTCTATCTAACAATCCACTTTTTTGTAACGTAAAAGTATTTTTTTTGAATTAATTTTGCTAAAATGACAAGTAAGTTCATTAAGAGTATTTTTAATTAATTTTGTTAAATAAATAAGTAAGTTCATATTAAACTCCTTTTTGTAGATAATTTTATTCGAAATTATATTTTAAATAAATGTCTTTTGATAAAGATTAAACATTTACATTTATTATTACTTTAAAGATTTTTACATCTAATGATTATTTAAATTATATTTAAAATATTTTATTTTAATTTTATTTTTTATTTCTTACTAACTAACCAATGAAAAATATCTAAAGAGTTATTTATTATAGGTATTAAAAGCATTATTGCTATATTTTGAATAATACTATTAAAAACGAATTAATACCTGAACAATTATATGCAGAGAATCTTTAAAAACATTTTTTGAAAATTTATATGATTAATTTGCATATGAGAATATACTAGATTTAAAATTAATAAGTTTTCATAAATAATTTATGAGTATCTTTAAAAAATATCTTAGATAGATGAATGGCTTTTTTTTGATTGTATGCATTAATATATGCTTATTTAATTGATTGATTGATTTATTTATTTATATTCGTATAAATAAAATATATAAATTGAAAGCAAGCAGTATCTTCTTTCTTTTTTACTTAGTAGTTTCTAACTAAATAACTCAGAATGAAATTAATTTGCAAAAAATAGAATGAAAAGCTATTCTAATAAGAAATCAAGATAAACTTGTAAAATTGAATATTGTGAAATATACATTTTATCAAATACAATTAACACAGGAGGGATTATTAACTTGAAAATATCTTTGCAACAATTAAGCAATTTAAACAATAATGATTGTAATATATATGAAGCTATATGCCTTCCTAAATATATTTTAATTTGGATCTACTAATTCGAATTTATATTGCTATTTAAAAAGCATCTATGATATCTCCTTTTATTAATTAATCCCTTTCTTTGTGTATTTTATTTCTGTTTTTGTTTCTCTCAAGAAGGTCTGTTCCATAACTTAGATTGAGGGAATTCGACAGGTGAGAGCTTCCAGTAAAGGGTATTTCTACGTTCACCATTATCGTCGAATCTTTCGTAGTTGTAACCACCAATTTGGAAAGAGCTCCAACCCCAAGTGAGGACTATGAAAAGGAGCCAAGGAATCATCTTAGTATTCAAGACAGGGGTATGAATGTTGAAGAAACCGTTTCTTTCAAAAGAAGAAGTTCTTCTGTACCAGTTTCTAGTAGCAGGTAATCTGCAAGTCTTAGGAATGAGACCCTTAATATTATTAGGAACAAGAGGGACTGGTCTATAAGTACCTTAGTTTTTGGCAATAAATTCAGCTCTCTTTTGGTGTAAATCACCGAATTCGGGAGCAACTATATCATACTTATTTTCAAAGGCCTTATCAAAGTGGCTAAAATCTAATTGATCTTTTCCCATTTATTTTACTTTTCCTTATCCTATTTAATTAAATTATTTGTAATTTTTTTCTTCTTTATTTGATTAAACAAACAAATTTTGATTTAAGAAGAAAAAATATAGAATGAATGAAGTCTTCTTGTTTCTTGCATTCACTTTTTAACTTTGATAATCTCAATATAAAAGATAAATAGTTTTTATTCCTCATTTTCTTCTTATCTTTCTTTTCTTTTCGAATACTATCAACTACATCCATTTTTTCTTATACTTTTGATAAATAAAATCTAAACAAAGAGGATATGCACCCAAAAATATTTACTTAATCAATATTTTATAAATTTTTGTTTTTACATTAGATAAAATACAAATAATAAAATAAATAGCCAATCTCGTTTAAAACATCAATTAAGAAAAAAAATATTTAAAAATGGTTACTCATGATATTCTACAAATTTTTGATAAAATTAAAAAAATCTAACTGAAGACCTATAAAAAATATTATTTTATTTAGAAAAAATACAAGCTAAAATTTAAATAGGTTTTATCGAGAAAGAGCCTAAGTTTTAAATTATATTTAGTTTCTTTATTAATAAAATCTTCACAAATAATTGAATATTTCTTTCAAAAAATAATAATTAAAAATAAACAAATAATTTAAATATTAAAAAAAAGAAAAGTAAATCAAAAATTTTATTTTACATCAGTTAACAAGTTTTTTAAAATTGTAAAAAGTGTTTCTCTTAAACATAAATCCTAGTTTTTTAACATACGGAAGAGAAATAATAGCTTAAAAAGGCATGAAATAGGTTTGCTAAAATAATTAAGCATATAAAACTGATGTAAAATAATCTTTTTACCAAAAATATTTTGTAATTCTATCAAAGAATTATTGGAAATATCAAAAAAAATTGATTAACAAAATGTCAGGATAAAATATCCAAATTCTCTCTTAGAATTAACAATATATAAAAATATTTTTTAATAAAGCAAAATGTCTAGATTCTCGCTGATTTACTCATGATTAACCGCTGCTGCTAATAAAAATAAAATAAATAATAAAATTTAAAAAATTATGAATAAATAAAAAATATTATTAAAAAATAAATAAAAATTTTGAAAAAATAAATAAATTAAATAAAAAGAAATTAAAAGTAAAATATTAAAAAACAAATAAAATAAACAAAAAAAAAATGTAAAGATAAAAATTTTAGATGAAATATTTATAGGCTAATTTTTTTTATGCAAATATTAAATAAATTGTTTGAAAAATTAAATTTGAATATTTTTTAATATATGTGTATTTTTATTATTTAACTAGACTAGTGTCTTAGAAAATTTAAGTTGATATTATTTCTCTTTAAAAAATAATTTAAGAGTTGATTAATTAAGTTAAGTATATTATTATTTTTAAATAATTTTTTTCAGATAAGAAAAGATTATTATTGTTAATTAATTAGTTTTTAATTTATTAAAATAGTGATTCAATTATTAAAAAATATTAGTTTTTATAATGGGTTTTGTATTCAGTAAGATTTTTAAGAAGCTGTTTGGTTCAAGCAACTCATTCAATATTCATATAGTAGGCCTATAGAACGCTGGAAAAACTACTATACTTTATCAATAGTAAAGTTAGTGAAGAAAGACCTATTTATTAGTGATTATTATTTATTATAGTAATTTAGGGAAGGTTATTGAAACAACACCTACTTTAGGTAGTAATATGGAGGAAGTTAATCATAAAAATGTAAAGCTGAAAGTAAAAATATATTTAAATTACTTTTTAAGTTTTTTAACTCAATTTGTTTTCTATTTAGGTTTGGGATTTAGGAGGTATTTTAAGATTTTTAAATGTTTGATTCTTAGAAAATAACAGTTTTGGATGATAAGCTAATACAGTAATTTAAAAATAGGTTAAAAAAGTATTAGAGAAGTATGGGATAATTATTTCTTAGAAAGCGATGTATATAAATAATTATTATGTTTAAGGTTTATTTTACAAATTTTATACATATATTATAAAAAAGGCTGTAATTTATGTAGTAGACTCTACAGATAAAAGTAAAGAAGATGAAAGTATGGAGGAATTTTAAAAGTTGTTGAAAAATGAATTGCTGAAAAATGCAGTGTTTTTAATATTTGCTAATAAATAAGACATAGAAGGAGCGATGACAGCAGATTTAATTGCTGAAAAATACAAATTATCTGACATCAAAACACACTAATGGCATATTTAAGTAAAGTTAATTAGGTTATTTTAGATTTTATTTATTCAAAATTAATTAAAAGGCATGCAGTGCAGTTAAAAATACTGGACTTGGAGAAGGATTGGATTGGGTTGTAGATAAAATTCTAGAAAAAAATAAATGAATGAATTTCAAAAATAAATGCTAGAAAATTGTTAGCTTTTTATTTTATAAATTAACTAATTAAAAAAGAAGAATTATTATTAAATAAATACTTAAGTTATAATATGCCTATTAGAATTTAGAGCTTTTGAGTGCATATAAAGTTTGTGCTTTGTTTATTCTGATTTAAAATTATTAAAAAATTATCAAAGCTTTTATATTTACATTATTATGAAAAAAAAAAATCTTATTTTATTTACTTGAAAAATTTGAAATATGTGTTTGTTATTTGTGAGTTATCAATTTTATGAATCTTAATAACAATTTTAAAAATGTTATTTGATGTATTAGCAGGGTGGCGAAGTGGAATCGCGTTGGGCTCATAACTCAAAGGTCGGAGGATCGAAACCTCTCTCTGCTAAGTTTTTTGTATTAAATTTATTTATCTAAATTAAAATAAAAAAATATTTTTTACAAAACAAATTTTTATTGTTGTTTTTTTTTTCTCAAGAATTAAGTTAAAATAATTTAAAATATTTTTTTAGTAGAATAAAAAATTTGCAGTAAACAGAATCAAATTTAAAAAAAGAAGATATTTTTGATAAATTAAAATTAATAATTTTTAATCAATCAAAAAAATTCTTAATTTCTTAATTACATTTTTACATGATTTAATTAATTAATATGTATGTATGTGTATTTATGCATGTATGTATGTATTTATATCAATTTAATTATATTTTGTTTATTAAAAAGTTATTAAGTTGACTAATTTCAAACATGTTCAATTTAGCTAAATCTATTACAAATTATAATCAATTAGTATATAAAAATAAGTATTTAGTTTCTAAATTAGTTTCTAAAATGGAGGCTATGACTTTTTACGAAGTTTTAGAAATACCTTCTACTGCAAATATGGCTTAAATTAAAAAAGCCTACATCAAAAAAGGTAATATTACATTACAAAATTCTTTGTTAAAGCATTAATTTACAATTTAAAAATAGCAAAAGAATGGCATCCAGATTAAAATTCTGATAAACCTGACGCAGCAGTAAAATATAATAAAATTTTTTATTTTGAAAATTGATTACTAATTTTAGAGCCAGAATGCAAATGTTCTAAAATATTTTCTGGAAAGTTTAATGGTGAATTTTTTACTTATAAATAGGAAGTTTTTAAAGTTGTAACAAAAGCTTATGAAACGTTGAAAGATCCTACTAAAAGATAGATATATGATTTAGGAAGTATTAATCCAAACTTTAATTAATCTGCTACTGATGAAGATTTTTCGAAATATTATGATGAGGAAAGTAATCGCTAGCGCAGACCTTATTGGCAAAATAAATGGTATGGCTTTAAAAAACCTACAAATGAGGAAGATCTTAGGGATAGGTATTAAGACTTTGCTAAATATTAAAAAGAAGATTAAGAATGGGCTTGGAAATCTATAATCTTAAAGTTATCAATCATTGGAGGAGTTTTTGTGGCATTTGATATTTTAAGATATTATAAATAGTAAAAACATAAAGAATTGATAAATTTAAAGAAAGAAATATTAACGTCTCAATTTAAAGATGAATCAAAGGAAATTGATAATGGATTAACTCTTAATGATTATATACATATACGTTTAAATTAAATTGAAGAAGAGGAGTCTGGATTTGAAGAAGCCCAATGAAAAGGCTGTTCAAATTATTTAAAGCAATTTAATAAATAAGCAAAAATAAAATAATTATATTTCAATCATTAATTCTGTATAAAATATTACTTTTAATCTACTTAAATAAATAAATTAAATTATTCTAATAGATAATTAAAAATTAATATTTATTTTATTTGAATAAAAATGAATTGAACAAATTAAAAATTTATATTAACCAATAGATTTTAAATATTATTTTGTACGTACAATTTACTTAATAAGTCTTTATAAAATTAATATAAATAATTTAAATATTCAAATAAATAATTGTAATATTCTAAAATATAATTAATTTTAAAACTAGATATTTAAATATTTTTAAATTATTTACTTAAAATAATAATAACAAAAATTAAAAAAATTTTTGATAAAGTTTGATTTTTATAGCAGGAGTAAGTTAAAATTTCTACTTTTAAAAAATAATTAAATAATTTAAATTCAATTAATCCTAAAAATATGGAAAATTTGTTGTAATATATAAAAGAATGAGAAGAGCTATATTGTCATTCTTTTAATTTAAATTAAAAAATTTCTAATTAAGTTATTATTTTTAATAATAATTAGTGAATGTTATGGATAAATATGGAATTTGATTTACACATGGATTTGAATTGGAACAGGATAAAAAATCTAATCCAGAATAAATATTTTTTTTGGGGATGATCCTTGGACTTAAAGCAATAAATATGGGTAAAAAGAGATACGAAGTATCAAAGATAAATTTTAATTAATTTTTATTTTTTAGAGAATTCCATTCAAATAACTAGGTTAAGGAATAAAAAATATTTAAATTAATATAAAATTTTGAAATTAAAAAATTAAAAACTAAGGATTGAGTGAACAAATAAAAATTTTATTTATATTTGATAGCAAAAATATATTTTTGATTATTGAAAAGCATATTTAAATTAAATCAAAAAATTGTGAATATAAAAAATAATCACCTTTTTTGATTAGATCTAAATATGTTATTCAAAATTTAAATATATTTTTTTGAAATGTACCGTCCTGGCTCTAATTAAGGTGAGAATGCAATCATTTTTATACAAAAAAAATGCACCTTAAAATTAAAAAGTTTTTTTTAAAAATTTTTTAGAAAGGTATTTTGAAAATTAATTATGCTCTTTTGTCTTGATTTTGTAAAATCTATTTCTTACATTTATTACACAGACTCAAAAAAGCAAATAATCAAGATTCGATCATGCAAAATGGCTTCTAAAAGGCATGGTATCTTAAAAAAACACTAATATTATTGCTTTAAACCAAATAGCTAGCCTGAATAAAAATAATAAAGAAGATACTCAAATACCCATTAAAAAAAAAATTTAATTAAATATTAACTTATAGTATAGAGAAGAATTAGGTAAGAGGGAAAAGAGGATATTCCTTATGCTATATTTAAAATATATTTTTTAATGTTTTTAAATTAATTTTATGTAAGTTATTTAGCTTTTTAATTTATGAAATTTTTTAACGTTATTTAAACTAAATTTCTAAGCAAATAAGATCTAATTATAAAAATTATTTAAATTAAAAGAGTTTTTAAAGAAAGTAAAATTTTAAGAAATTAAAGACAATTCAAACATAAAATGTATAGATTCAAAATATAGTACCTAATCAAAAAACAATACAAATAAAATTTAATACTATTTCAGATAGTTAAGCTTGACACAACTTTGCTTAAACCGAAAATAGCATAAAATTTATAGAATATAATATTCTTTTATATATTTTTTAATATAATGATCTTAAAAAGTGCCAAGATAGACTAAAAAAAGATAAAGTCAACTCCAATAACTAGAAAGAATTAAACATATTTTGAATTAGCATAACTTGGCTCTTCGTTGCTTATAACAGCTAAAATGACATAAATATAAAATAATAATAAACATACCATAAAAAAGGTAGATAACTTTTGACCTATTCTTGTTATTTTATGAGCTATTGTTATTAAGAAAACTCCAACTTCAACTATTATTGAGCTAACTATTGAAATTATTATTTTTTAAATAACATTATAACTTTCATCAAATACTGTTGACAGACATAAAGAGTGGACTACTCTCAAGTAAATAATATTGAATCTAATTGGTCTTGAAAGAGATGGCTCATATGTATAAATTGTATTGAAGTAGGCGTGAAACACTTTAAATTATACAAAAAGAGACAATTTTTTAAGTTGTTCTATAGTTTAAATTTCATCTTCCTTTAATTTAACATCTTCATTTGCTAAATTACTTTTGCTGCTCTATTATTAAAATGTACTTACAGTTACCTTATTTGAATTTATTAATTTGTCTTATTATACTTCTTAAAAATCTATTAATTAACCTTAATTTAGATTTTCATCTTAAATTTTTGGCTACTTAAACTCTTAAATCTAATCTGATTAGACTTATTCCTCAAGCTAAAGTACTTAATTATCAAGATTTTTCATAAAGTTTGGCTACTCAGTTGATGATATTTAATTTTCTAATTTTAAAAGGTCCATTTATTTTGATTCAATTTTTTCATTTTTTAAAATTGTTAAAGTATTTATAAACTTTTGTCTTTTTCTTGTTGTTTGATTATTAGAATTTATTAAATCTTGCTAATCTTAATTAGTTTACTATATAACGCCATTTAATTCTTAGATACTTTATAATTGCAAACTTGGTGTCTAATTCTTTTAGCTAATAGGAGGATTTTCTTATTCCGATACCATAGGCATAATCTATGAGATAGTAGTTTTACTAAATTTTTTGTCTAGATTTCTACCATATTTATATAAACCCAATTATAACAATGTTAAAGTAAAAAGAGTCCAAACAAGAGCATATTAATAAAATTTATCAAAATTAGTTATGTTATTAAATCCATCTGAACTAAAAGCTTCTTTTACATTTTTATTAATAAGTAATGATTCTAGATCATCAGTCACAGTTGTAGGATTTGTACTATTACAATAGCAATAGTATTTATTATTTTTTTTTACATTGTTACATCCATTAGTAGACCAAGCCTATGATTATTGCATTTAGAGACATGTTTAATTGTTAGGAGAGGGTTATAAGTCTTAAAATTTAAAAATATAAACATTTTATTAATTATCTTTTTAATTCTCCTTTGTGTTAATTAATTTTCTATTGGTAGGCATTTTGCTCATTTGTAAAAAGTTAGAACCTTATTGATATAATAATCTATTTGAGCTTGTATTTGCTAAGTCTAAAGAATATTTTATAACTGGATTCTAAGTAATTGTTATGCTTGAGTTTACTTGTTTTAATTTTTTGATATAATTCTAGAATTCAGATGTTTATTCGAAGGGATTTTGAGAGTAAGTAGTCTAACCTAAATAGTAAGCATTTGTTGTTCGTGAATCCTAATAATCAAACATAACTTATTTAAGGTTTTTTGAAGTAATTTATTAGCAGTCAAGTGATATTAAATTACCTTATAGCTATACTCCTCCCTGATTAGGTAGAGTTGCTTTGCTTAGGTAACTGCATATTTAGTCTGATATATTCATTTGTTGAGATATCAAATTATTGGAAAGAATTTAAGTAGTCGAATTTAACATTTTAAAAGAATCTACTACATTTTGAAGAAAAACATTATTGTTATTCATAAACATATCATTCTAACTAATCAAAGATTATTAGTTTTACAGAATTGTATTTAGCTAGATTAGAACAGGGATGATCTAAGATTCTTATTAATTAGAAATAGATTATTATAGTTGGGCAATTACTTTGTTTGCATATGTTGATAATAAAGATGAATTAGGTAGAGAATTAACTTAGCTTATTATTAATTATATAAGCTAAGATTTTTAAGTATTTATTGATTAAAGATTATAAACTGGATAGTTCTTTGATATTTCTTCTCCTATCACACACAAATTTAAGACATTTTAGGAAATTGTTTTACTACTATCAATTTATAAAGCTTGGTCAATAATACTGTTGATTTAATTCTCGTTTTGAGCAAATGGTTATATGTTTACCTATATGGTTGTATTGTAAACAGCTAAATAGCAATCTATAGCCTAAACCATTAATGTTAGATTCCCTGAAGGGAGGATAGTACTCAATTCATTTTATAAGCTTTAATCCATTATTTATCTTCTTAGTATATAATTTGGAGATACCTATTCTTACTAATAATCAGTATCATTAAGGTAGTAAAAGAATTAATAAGATATAGGTGCATTAGCTGAAAAGCAACCAGACATTTTAATTTAAAAAATTGTTTATAGAGCTTATCCACTAGGACTGTTTATAGATAGTACACAATTTTTGGGTGGTAAATTTATATTAAAGTTATTAATACTTAAACTAGGCATTATGTAATAAGGATTGTATGCGCTGAATCTGACTTATACAATAGCATTTGAAGGAAGAATATTTACGAAATAATCCCAAATTCTAAACCTCACTTAATAATAATCAAATTTTATAGCTCCTACTACTGTATTATTATAAAGTATTGCACCAGCATAGCTTAGCAAGTCAGATGAAACATTACTTCCATATATGAGAGTTGCATCAATATCTTAATTAATGTTGACTTATATCAACTAAGAATAATCTTAAAATTTTACAATTAAAATAGGTATATCAGTTTCTGATAAGAAGACCATAGTTGATTAAAATTTCTAACGGGAATCTTTGATCCCTGTAAAAGTAAATAAAAGAGTTTAGTAAGGGCTAAAGGTTGAGCCTGGTATCGAAATAGTAGGAACATTTTGCTGCAAAACAATTAGGTGGTTATTATAGTCATAGCACTTATTATCATTTTGATTAGAGGTAAGGGATACACAATCCCACTTTAAATTAATTTGTTAATCTTAGTCTTGGTCTTCAAGCTCAAAATCTCTTGCTAATCCAGTTAAATTTAAGGGTTTTTTGAAGCCAAATATTCCTTATTATCCACCTATAATCTAAATAAATAAATCAGATATATTAGGTGTAATAGTTTAAGTTTTTAAATTAGCA